AGACAGCTTCAAGCTGTCCCCTGGGTAGAGCACCATGGCATCATAGCTCACAGCAACCTCCAACTCCTGGGCTCAAGCAAGTTTCCTGCCTCCGCCTCCCAAGTAGCTGGGACCATAGGCGTCCACCACAACGCCTGGCTATTTTTTGGTTGCAGCCATCATTGTTTGGTGGGTCCGGGCTGGATTCAAACCCGCCACCTTAGGTGTATGTGGCTGGCGCCCTAGCCACTTGAGCCACAGGAGCCGAGCCTCCCTCCTCTTCTTCTGCCCTACCAAGCCCCTGTGTCACCTTGAAGCCCCACAGGCCCATGGAGGCCTGTGCATTGGGAGTGCGGCATCTTAAACTTAGGACAAGGAATAGGCAGAGGAGGCTCTCACCTGGGGGAAGGTGTAGCTTGTAGAGCACCTTGAGTTTCTCTGTCAGGTCTCCATGGTACATCCCACCTGTGGGAAAGGCCAGGGAGAGGGTGCACTGGCAAGATGGTTCGGAAGCCCCTTCCAGGAGATTATAGAGGGGATCCTCCTCACAGCCTCAGCTGCCTGACTCTCTCCTGTAGAGGTCACTGGATCCAGCCCCAGGCCTCTGCTCTCCCTACAGCTTTGTCAGGAAAGCTCAGGCCTGCCCTGGGGTGGGTAGACCCAGCCTCTAGCTGCCTTGCCCTGTGTGAGGGAGGGAAGAAGGAAGGGCTGAGCTCCTCTTGGACCCCACCATGTCTCCAGTAGGTAATCTGCTCTTCCCTTATCAAGGGCCAAAGGCTCAAAGCTGCTTTCTGCTTGCTGTAGCAGACAGATAGGCTAGGGCTGGCATTTGGAAAGCTTCTTGGTAAAGTGTGAGGGCTGAGTTAGGCCTCTGGGGACACTCACTCATCCCTGTCACGAACTCCTTGAAGTTGATCAGTAAGTCCTTATTTTTGTCCAGAAGCCGGAACATGCGCCCTGCCAGCACATGGGTGTGGGAGCCACAGGCCCAGGGTGTCAGGCTGGCAAAGAGTTCCTGGAACTGGCTTGCATCAATCCGGTACTGCTCCAGGTATGGAAGGCTGGGGTCCCGACGAATGGCGACCATGTGGCTGCTCCCCCAATACTGGCTTGCCAGGTGTTTGGCCTGCAGGAACAGTCTGGTGAGACGACCTGGCTGCTAAGCCCTGGGGCTTTTAGGATTAGTAGACTGGCAGGTGTGTCCACCCTCTTCCTCTGTCCAAGCCTGCAGAGCCCTGGTGAGGCGAGCACCTCACAGAACTCTCATGCTGGCACTATCAGCCCCTTGGTAAGAGATGGGGGTGGGTAATTGCTGGGAGACAGAGCCTTCGGCAGCCTGTGAGGGGCAGAGGGCACAGTGTAGTGGCCACCTTGGGAAGTGGACCAGAGGCAGCTAGAGGAGGGGATGGAGAACTGAGAATAAGAGCAAAAAGACAGTGTAGGCTGCATTGTTTCTGTCCCTTCTTTAGGACCCTTTCTTCCTCCCTTTGTTGACAGAACCTGAAATCTTCTTAGAAAACCCCCTCCTGTCTCACTCTCAGGTGATCAGCCCCATCTCCAGGGATGGGTGAGGGTGGGTACATGACCCATGTTTGGCCCAGCAGCTGACTTGAATCATCTGGGTCTTTTGCTAAAACCATGTGTAAAGAAAAATTCTTTCTAAGAATTTGGAAGACAGCATAGCCCTGGAGCTGCTGACTGCCTCTTGCCACTCTGCAGGAAGAGCAGTTCAGAGACATCAGAGGTGGGGAGCATAACAGCATGTTTGGACACCTGGGTCCAGCCATGCCTAAAGTTGTTCATTCCTAAACTTTTCAGTTACCTGAGCCAATGTACTCCCTCTTTGGTGTGAGCTTGTAAGAGTGAATTTTCTGCCATTTAAAAAAGTGTCCTGCCTAAACTCCAAGAAGGATTAAATTCTACATGAACTTCGTGGCAACTTCATCTGAGGATGCTTTTTTTTTTTTTTTGAGACGGAGCCTCAAGCTGTCCCCCTGGGTAGAGTGCCATGGCATCACGCTCACAGCTACCTCCAACTCCTGGGCTCAAGCGAGTCTCCTGCCTCAGCCTCCCAAGTAGCTGGGACCACAGGAGCCCGCCACAACGCCCGGCCATTTTTTGGTTGCAGCCATCATTGTTGTTTGGCGGGCCCGGGCTGGGGATTCGAACCCGCCACCCTAGGTGTACGTGGCTGGCGCCTTAGCCGCTTGAGCCACAGGCGCCGAGCCTGAGGATGCTTTTAAATCTATTTCTCTTCTGGCATGAAGCTGACATGCTGAGGATGCACTTAGGGGACTAGGATCGGGTACAGTTCTGCCCTGGCTCCTGGCTGTCACCTTGAACACCATGTAGAGGTCCTCCAGCTCTTCAATTGAGAAACCAATGTCCACAGGTATAGCTCGGACCTAAAAGGAAAGAGAAACTGGATGTGCTGGTGGATTCTCAAGCTGCTTCAACAGTAGAAATAATGGTCTTTGAGAGGATCTTCATGTGTATGAGGGAAAAGGCATGAACTGCCCTCTTGGTGTCACCAGCGGGCCTGGCATGCAAGGACAGTCCTTTTAGGAAAAAGGGTACTACTCATACACCCTCCAATCAGCTCACATTCCTGAGCTACTCCCAGGGTGGACACTGGGCTAGCCTTTTTCTCCTGAACACACAGTTGAGGGCTACAGAGCAAGGGTAGTCACTGAGCTTCCATTGCCTGGATCTCTGCAAAGGCCCTGGCACTGGCTCTTTGGGAGGGGTTCTAGAACTTGGCAGACAATTCTCTTTTTACTTTAATTAGCTGGAGTCAGTCAGATTCTGTTGTTTGTAAATAAGGTGCTGTCATGGTGATCTACATGCCTAAAGAGCAAGGCTGGTCACTTGCCTTCCTAGGAAGGCACAGCAAAAAGATCCTCCTTTTGTGGGCAGAAGGCATGAACAGGTCTTGCAGCCTGGGGTGACAAGGCTGACCTAGCCCTTCCAGAGATAATGAGGACAAAGAGTTGCAGCACAGACATGGGGTGTCTGGAGGGTGGCCAAGGAGTTGAGTCAGCAAAGCTTCCCACTGCCTCACCCATGAATAGAAAAAAAATGACCAGGACATCTCTCCACATCCCCAGATTTGCACTTTCCCCCTGGATTCTAGTCCCACACAGCATCCTAACATGATGTACATACCAAGGTAGCATGAGGGGCGAGGTGCAAGTGGAGAGAGTGCCAGGTGCTGCAGCCCCAGCCTGGCCCCTGCTGGCAACTTACCACACTTCTCTTGGCTGTGTCCTCCAAGGACTGGATCACTTTCAGTCTCTGTTTAAACCGCATCTGTTCAATGTCATTGGCTCTCAGACTGCTGAATTTCTACAGGCCAGATGTGACTCAGTGAGATTAAGCTAACCGCAGACCAGAGGACCACCACCCAGCCATAGCTGCTGGAACCCACATGGCTGGCTGGAGAGGCCTGGCCAAATTAGCCCTGTTGAGTGCTGACCTCATAAGACACTTTCAGAAGCTCAAAGATGTCCACCTCTTCAGGGGGGTCATCCCCGCTGGTCAGCAAGGCATGGAGGTGTGGAATAGGAAGAGAAACACTCTGCTTATTGACCACATTATCCAGGTACCTGCAAAGATTGGAGTACAAAAGTCTAGACCACACACATGTAACAGGAACATCTTTCCCAGTTAAGCAAAGCAGAGGGACCAAATTTACATACAGACTATCAATTAAGAGCACGCTGAGAGCTGAGAACCTCTAGGAGGGCAGAGGTGAGCCCTGGCAGGCCAGGAAGTGCAGCTCAATGCCCTGCCCCCATGAAGCCTGAGCACTGAGGACACTAGGTTGTTTTCTAGAGGTCCCATGGCAGGAATCTTTCATAAACCTAGACCTTACCCAGCTGGGGGAACAATATCCTCCCTCTCTCTGGTGGATCATTAGAGATGTGGGGACTCCTGGCCATGGCCAAGAAGAATCAGGGACTAAAGGACCTGTGCAGTATCTGTTGTGGGTGAGGAAACTGGCTCCTCCAGGGACACATCCTAGAGGACAAGGCCCTCTTCTGGCCGGTTGACATGGCCCAGCCAGGGCTCTAGGCTCAGCCTGACACTCAGATAGGAGAGCATGGCCGGTCCCCTAACGCCTATCAGCCCTGGTCAGACCCCAACTCCTGAGCACAGGCCCGAGCAGTCTACAGTAGAAGGTGAGCATACAAGCCAGCCATACACTTCAGAGCTCAGGCCAGAGTGAGACCGGGAGGAGGCTTAGGCTTAAAGGCCAAGCTGGAGGACTCAGCTCCTTGGACCAGAGGACCAGGCTGTGGTAAGGGGAGTTCCCATGTCCAAAGTGGGGACAAGGCCAGGTCTGATCAGAAAGAGCCTTGTGAGATGCTGACAGGTGAGAGAGTGGAACAGAGGAGACTGCGATGAATCAAGCACAATCCAAGGAAGGGGTATCATGGGCCAGGCTGAGGGAAGGGGATGGATCCCAGAGAGAATCAGTGAGGGGTGGGATATGAGATGGGGGAGGAGGGGCCAGCATGATCTTGGGCCCCATGTGTCACCTGCTGGAAATCAGCTTATTCAGCTGTTACTGAGAGCTCAAAGCAGATCTGCTCCCCCTAGGGCACGGGAGACAGAGATGCTGCTGAGCTTTGGGGAAATGAGGGATACTCAGCCCCCGCTGTGCCAGCCATTTCCTGACCACCAACAAGAATCCTAGTCATTGGAGCTTGGCTCTGGATATCCTTGTGTCCTAACCCCACATCTGAGTGGTGGTCCCCCAAACAGGGTGCTCTGCCTGCTGCCTCTGCCTTGGCATTCACTGTTTTGTCTCTCACTGGAAAGGAAGTTTGCTCCTGACCTCAGACAGCCCTAGGTCTAGCCCTGACTTGGTGGTGTGGTTGGCACAGTGCTTGAATGCTGGCTGGGCAGTGCCTGGAGCTGGAGAGGGGTGGGCTCTGCTGCCAGAGATAGGGGGAAGAGCCCAGCACACACCTGCCCAGCACGGTCATGGCCTCGCCCTCGTCACTGCAGTCTAGCAGCTGCTCCATGTTGGCATCCAGGATGGCTAGGGCCACCTGCAGGATCACTTTGATGCCCTCATAGAAGAAGCAATCAACAATGACTACAGCGCTCTCAAATGGCATGACACTGAGGAAGAGGGTCAGGAACCAGGATAGTGAGATGCTGGAGATCACCCCCAGGTCCTGCATCTTCTCCGAGAGCTGGGGCAGAAAGTCCCTTGTGAGCTCTTCAAAGATGCCCTGGTCCACCAGGGCTCCTGCAGAGAGGATGAGAGAGGATGAGGGAGGCTGGGTTAAGAGTCCCTGACACCTAACCGTGCCAGCTCCACACTGTGAGGGCTGAAGGGAGCAAGGAAAGAGAGAGCCTTCCTGTGCTCCCTTTGCAACTCCCATACCACTGTGTGAAAGCACTGTTTCTTCCCTCTACCTGAATTTTCTTTTAGGGAAATACTAATTTCTCTCTGAAAGTGTCAGAAGCAAGCAGTTTCCTGGGTGGCTTCTGTGTCCTGTCTTGATTCCTGTGAACAGGTGCAATTCTGAAGAATCCCAAGAAGGGTAACTACAAGCACCCAACAGTAGGGGAGGCAATCTTAGAATAACAGATGGAAGTACATTTGTAAGCCTATTTCATTTCTAGCCTTTGTATGACACAGTCTTTATTGGGTGTGTTTGCATAGTTGAAGTTGACCAAAAGGTACACGTGGGTATACTATACTTTAGTTTTGATGTTTGAAATTTTCTATAACAAAACAAGTTTAAGAAAAGTGAGAAAGATAGGAATTTAGGCTCTCGGAGGACTCAAAAACCACCAGATGTGCTCCCTAAAAAAACAAACAAACCACCAGATGTGTAATAGCTTCTATTCTCATTGCCACTAACTCCCAGGGACCCACACGAAGTCTGGACAGGAGTCATGACCGTGGGGGAAGACAACTGGGGTGTCTGTGCCAGCTTTTTGCTCCCTGGTTGTGTAGTCATAGCTCTCCACTATGTAAGGTGGGAACCATGCCTTTGTGCAGCCTCAGGATGGCTGTGAGGCCTATAGAAGCTCACTTGTGGGGAGGGCTTACCATGGAACCTGGCCTGGGAAGAGCTGCTCCCCTAAAGGACCCACTGGGCAACTGGAGGCTGGGTAAGGGAGTGCTGCAGTACACTTACCCACTACCCTGGTGTTGTAGTAGTCGGGCAGCATGCGCTCGCAAAGGGCCACTAGGAGCCAGAAGGCTTCCTCCTCACTGCCATATAGCAGGAGCACTGAGGTCACGATGTTCATCGCCTGCCAAGCACATAGACAACTAAGGTAGACTTATATTGCTGGCCCCCAAATAAAACTGTCCCCCCCCCAACAAAAGTCCTGCATCAGCCTTGTTCTCCAAGCAAATCTGCCCCTTCAGGAGGGCCTGGCATCTGGCCGTGAGCAACTGTCCATGCCCAACTCTGGGACTTTTTTTTTTTTGAGACAGACCCTCAAGCTGTCGCCCTCAGTAGAGTGCTGTGGCATCATAGCTCACAGCAACCTTCAACTCCTGGGCTCACAGCAACCTTCAACTCTGGGGTTCAAGCTATTCTCCTGCCTCTGCCTCCCAAGCAGCTGGGACTACGGGTGCATGCCACAATACCTGATATTTTTTTTTTTTTTGGTTGCAGCCGTCATTGGTGTTTGGTGGGCCCGGGGTGGATTCAAACCTGCCAGCTCAGGTGTATGTGGCTGGCTCCTTAGCCGCTTGAGCCATAGGCACCAAGCCCCAACTCTGGGAAATTTGCCAAACTTTGCAGGAAATCAATTTGACAGAGAGAGACAGCCAACTCCTTCAAACTGGGTCAGAAGGCACCAGGTGAATAGAGAAGACGACATCTGCACATCACACTTCCGTGCAGTGGTGTCTGGTGTTGGAGGTGTGACACAGGGCCCAGGGGATGAGCGAGTGAGCTGCATGGCCAGAGCCCTGCAGAAACAGGAGATGATGGCTGCCGCTTGGCTGCAGAGAGGCTGTGGTAGAAACTGGATGGCACACACAGCCTTCTGTTAACAAGGTTTTTAAGGCAAACAGAAAGCTATATAACCTGGCCAGGAAAATGCCCACTATTTAAAATTAAAAGCTGCCAGAAATGCAAATCATAAGCACAATGGATACCTCCTCACAGCCATTACTTAAAAAAAACAAAAGAAGGTTACTGTGCCCGTGGCACAGCGGTTACAGTGCCAGACATATACACTGACTGAGGCTGGTGGGTTTGAACCTGGCCCAGGCCAGCTAAACAACAATGACAATTGCCACAAAAAATAGCTGGGCGTTGTGGCAGGCACCTATAGTCCCAGCTCCTTGGGAGGCTGAGGCAAGAAAATCGCTTAAGCCCAAGTTAAGGTTGCTGTGAGCTGTGATGCCACAGTATTCTACCGGGGTGACAAAGGGAGACAGAGGGAAACAAACAAATAAAAATCCCTGATACAATAATATAACAAGTAGAGGGGATATGGAGAAATTGGAATGCTTGTGAATTACAGGTGGGAATATAAAATAGTATAGCTGCTGTGCTAAGGAAGGCTCTTAAAAAATTAAAAATAGAACTTTTATACAATCCAGTAATTCCACTTCTGGATATACCCCCAAAACTGAAAGCAGAGATTCAAACAGACATTTATGCACCTATGTTCACAGCAGCATTACTCATAATAGCCATGAGGTAGAAGCAACTCCACCGTTCCTCAATGGAAGAGTTTATAAACAAAATGTGGTATATTCATACCATGAAATATTATTCATCTTTAAAAGGGAAGGAAATCTTGTCACATGCTACAATGCCAATGAACCTTGAGGACATTGTGGTACGTGAGATAAGCCAGACACAAACACTGTATGATTCCACTCATAAGAGTTACTTAGAGTGGTCAAATTCATAGAAATAGAAAGTGAAATGGGGGCTGCTAATGGTGGCTGGAGGTGGGGGAATGTTTAATGGGGCCTGAGTTTCAGTTCTGCAACATGGTAGGAGCTCTGGTGATGAACAGTGATGATGGTTACACAACAGTTGTGACTGTATTAATACCAATTAAATTGTACACTTAAAAATGGTTTAGATGATAAATTTTATGGTATGTACATTTATTTTACAACAAACACAAAATAATCAAATACTTTGACCCAGACCAGAAGCCCACAAAAGATAATTTAATACAGGGTGGACATAAAGTTTGTGTTCAATTTAAATAGTAAACTAGTTGTTTTTAAATTACATCTTTTTCTTCAGTCAGGCTCCTTCCTCCTTGACACAGGCCCAGGGCCATGGGGACCTGCTCCCACAAGCCTCTGGTGGAGAGATGCTATCTCTGGGACCCTGCTAATACCCTTTACCTGGCAGTAGCCAATGGTGGGGTTTCGGAAAGCATAGGCAGTCAGCACCCGCCGGAGTGCAGCAATCCCAAGCTCATTCTGGAAAGCGGGGTGCTCAGGCATTGAGCGGTGGAGGTCCCTCTCGATCTCTTCCGTTGCCAGGCTACACTTCCCCATAGACTTTTCTACCAGCTCGGTGTAGTAGCCAGGGTGAGTCATCATCTCATTCCAAGCCCCTGGGGAGACACAAGGGACAGCTGTCTCTTTCTTCCTCTTGGTACTTCAGGGGCAATAGCAGGACAGGTTGGAGACATCAATACCCCAGAGAGATATGAGGAGCTCTGGGGTCAACTGGGAGGTGTGATGCAAGGTTCTCTCTAAGACTGCTCCTGGGGAGAGGTGTCCCAACCAAGAAGTTTGAATAGCTGACCTGCCCTCCTCATGAGATGCTCCTCTGGATAACCAAGGGGTGAATGCTGTCAAGACCTCCGAAAAAAAGGAGGCTTCAAGGGGGTCTGTTTGCCTCCCACTGTGGGCAGGAAGGGACCACCTAGCCAGCAGAGTACCTGGGCCCTGGCCTCTACCCCTTGTGCTATTTCCCTGGCTTTGGCTCTGCACATAACCCAGACCCTGGCTACCAGCTCTGTAAAAGGCTGGAAACTTCTGCCTCACCCACCTCAGGAGGTTGCTCAGGGCCAAACTCATATAAGCAGAGCCTTAGGGGCCCTGACTGGCTGAGCCAAGGGTAGGGTGGCTGGACCCCACGCACCAGAGAAGAGAAGCCAAAGCTCCCCCCGGAGGCTCTCAGGGATGCCCTTCAGGACTAGCTCCCGTGTCCTGGCCGTGCGGTACATGCACATGCCTCGCCCATACTCAAAGAAGTAGATGTTCCATGACTCTTCTTTCATCTTCTCCTTGGCCTGAGGGAAAAGCAAACCAGGAAAATTGGGGGCTGGGGTGTGTCTTGGAGCGTGGAGGTCCACGTGACAAAGCCCTCCTCCCCCTTATCCTCTGAGCCATGAGAAAGCCTACTATGTAAAAAATCTAGAAAGTGCCAACTAGAAAGCTCAGGGTGCAAAGTGGTTACTGGCAAAGTTGAGTCAGGGCTGGACCACACCACCCTTCCAGCAACAGGAGACAGCCCAGCAGCAGGTGGCCCCTTTCCTCCAGAGGCCTGGAGTTCCTGGTGAATAGCACCTGCCAGGCAGGGCAGTGGGGCCCTCCTCAGGGACAGTCTGGATCCTCTCATACTATGAGTACAGCCCAGGGAGGGCACTGCCCACCAGTTACCCCATGGAGTCCTAAGGCTGCAGCACTCCTGCACAAGGCTCACCCCTTTGGCTCCGAGGTCCTCCATGGGCGAGTTTCCCTGGAAGAGTTTGAGCAGGCCCTGGGAAGTGGTTGGTGCCTTCTGTGCACAGAAGCTCTGGCAGCTGCTGAGGGGAGAGGCCGGGCTGGTGGACTGGGCTGATGCCTCCTGAGGAGCTGAGGAAGACTAGAAAATAAAACAGGGAAGAAGCCCTAACAATGGAACTTCCTCAGGGCCTCTGATGTGCACGCCCACCCAGAATTGGATGATGACACCTGTGAAGGACAGCTCGTGTGGGTGGGCAGTGTTCAAAGAGCCTGGTCTGGCCAGGCACATGGCCATGGCTGCGGCCCAGACCTCAGCTTCTCTTTAGTGGGCTGGATACCTACACTTATCTTTCTGCAAGCAAACCTACCCATGCTGGAGAGTTAAAGAGTCTCAGAGGGAAGCAGGTTCTAGGTTCATCCTGTCAGGGCCTGCTCTCAGTGAGGTTGGCACAAAGGGGAGAAGAAACCCCATTTTTATCTTGGGTCCCAAGTTTGATGAGTTCCCCTAAGGCCTGGGTGATGGACCCTGTGATGTTGGTCTGGGCTCAAGGCTGGGTTTGGGGTGAATGTGTCACCCTGTTGCCAATAAGGAAATGCAGCAGGGTCTCTGCAAGGAGTGTTGGGGGTGGCCCAGGCAGAATACAGGTCTGCTGCCACCATCCTGGTGTCACATCAGCCTGAGAGTGACACTGTCCTAGCAAAAAACAAAGTCCAGTGGGAATATGACAGTTGGTCTCTGCTGTGGGGCAGGCTTTCCACTCCCTACACTCTCCTGTTGGTTTTGGTCTTATGACTGTGGTCTCACTCCACCATGTAAAACATTTCACATTCTCTGTGACCCTTAAGAGAACCCTGACCCTGATTATAGTGATGGCATCACAGAGTGACACCTGTTGGAACTTAACAAATTAGGGCGGCACCTGTGCTCAGTGAGTAGCGTCCTGGCCCCATATACAAAGAGCGGCAGGTTTGAACCTGACCCCAGCCAAACTGCAACACCAAAAATAATAGCCAGGTGTTGTGGTGGGCGCCTGTAGTCCCAGCTACTTGGGAGGCTGAGGTAAAAAAATTGCCTAAGCCCAAGAGCTAGAGGTTGCTGAGAGCTGTGATGCCATGGCATTCTACTGAGGGCGACAAAGTGAGACTCTGTCTCTAAAACAAACAAATAAAAAACAAAACAAAAAAACCCCCAAATACATATTGAGTATTACAAGTCAATTTTATCTCAAGCTTTTTTACTAGAAAAGAAAAAAGAATAAAAAGAGAAAACTCTGCTAGGTTCACACCCATAGTCCACCCTTCTACCCTTAGCTGGTATTGCAGAACTAGATTGTGGGTCCATTTAAATTTTTTTTTTAATTGAGACAGAGTCTTACTTTTGTCACCCTCAGTAGAGTGCTGTAGTGTCACAGCTCACAGCAACCTCAAATTCTTGTGCTCAAGAAATTTTCTTGCCTCAGCCTCCCTAGTAGCCAGACTATAGATGCCCACCACAATGCCTGGCTATTTTTTTTTAATTAAATTATAGCTGTGTACATTAATGCAATCATGGGGTACAATGTGCTGGTTATACACACAATCGGAAATGCTTTCATCAAACTGGTCAACATAGCCTTGACCTTATAAACATTTTCTTAGTTATTATGTTAAGACATTTATATTCTACACCTAATAAATTTCACGTGTACCCTTCTAAGATGCACTGTAGATGTGGTCCCACCAACTACTTTCCCTCTACCCATCCTCCCTCCTCCCCTCCTTCTCCCCTTTCCCCTTCTATGCCCGGCTATTTTTGTTTGTTTGTTTAGCAGGCTCTGGCTGGGTTCAAACCCATCAGCCCTGGAGCATGTGGTTGGCACCCTAATCACTGAACTATGGGCATCCAATCCCATTTAAATTTTTATAACAAGGTGCCTGAACCCAGTGGGCAGACCCCAGAGCAGGCCAACTGTGCCTTGACTGTGGAGATTCTGTTTCCCACTTGAACTCCAAGAGGGATCAAGACACAGATGGGCTCACAGGCCATAGAGCACCCCATAGAACCACAAATCTCAATGCCAGGAAAGGAATCAGACTCTAGGGCCAGCGTCCTCAAACTACGGCCCACCTAGGACATTTATCCAGCCTGCTGGGTGTTTTTGCTGCTGCTGCCTGTCCTGCTTAGCAGCCAACTCGTCCCGGGGCCCACAGTCCGGCCCTCCAATGGTCTGAGGGACAGTGAACTGGCTCCCTGTTTAAAAAGTTTGAGGACCCCTGCTCTAGGGTGTGTCCTGCATGACAAATACCTGATTCTGGTGAGATGGCCAGCATAGCCCTGAGCTGGTAGGCTGGGCTGCTTCCTGCTGAGACTCAGCAAAGGTCACACCTCAAACTGGGCTCCCTGGCCTCACATGGACACTGAGTGCTACTTATAACCCTGCCCCTAGGTAAAGATCTGACATGTTTGTCCAGGTCAAATCTCCAAAACTACCTACCATCCTTGCCTGTTACTCAACCACACTTCCCATTTCCTGTCTAAGTGAATAGGCGCAAGTAGACACAATCTGAGCCCCTCCAGGGGCACCTTCCCACCTGCCTGCTTCTGTGGCCCTGCACACCAGGCCTCTTCTCTAGCAACTACTCCCACCCTCAGCATCACCCTCCCTCTCAGGACTTACCCTCATTAGCACAGTCCTGCTGCTATTGCCTCCAACCTCCTCCTCTGCAGCAGGGTACTGCTCACCTATGCTCCCTTTGATAAAATTCATCAAGGCATACCCTACGGTAAGTGAACTTCAGGGGGTATATGTTATACTTCAAATAGAAGGTAGTTCCTGGCCAGGCACTTTGGCCAGACCCGTAATCCTAGCACTCCGGGAGGCCAAGGCAGGTAGTTTGCTTGAGCTCAAGAGTTTAAGATCAGCCTGAGGGCTCGGCGCCTGTGGCTCAAGCAGCTAAGGCGCCAGCCACATACACCTAAGGTGGCGGGTTCAAATCCAGCCCGGGCCCGCCAAACAACAATGATGGCTGCAACCAAAAAAAAATAGCCGGGCATGGTGGTGGGCGCCTGTGGTCCCAGCTACTTGGGAGGCTGAGGCAGGAGACTCGCTTGAGCCCAGGAGTTGGAGATTGCTGTGAGCTGTGATGCCACAGCACTCTGCCCAGGGGGACAGCTTGAGGCTCTGTCTCAAAAAAAAGATCAGCCTGAGCAAGAGTGAGAGTCTGTCTCTACTAAATAGAAAACCTAGCCAGGCATTGAGGCGGGCAGCAATAGTCCCAGCTACTTGGGAGGCTGAGGCAAGAGAATTGCCTGAGCCCAGGAGTTGGAGGTTGCTGTGAGCTACAACTCCAAGGGGGCACCAGAGTGAGACTGTCTCAAACAAACAAACAAACAAAAAAACCCAACAATCCTGGGCAGCACCTGTGGGTTAGTGAGTAGGGTATCCGCCCCATATAATGAAGGTGGCAGGTTCGAACCGGGTCCTGGCCAAACTGCAACAAAAAAATAGCCAGGTATTGTGGTGGGTGCCTATAGTCCCAGCTACTCGGCAGGCTGAGGTGAGAGAATTACTTAAACCCAAGAGTTGGAGGTTGCTGTAAGCTGTGACGCCATGGCACTCTACCTAGGGTGACATAGTGAGACTGTCTCTAAAAAAGAAAAAAAGGTAGCCCCCTAAAAGTGATCTGTTACTCTCTGCTGACCTTTATACACAATTTCTTGAAAGAGTTACCTAGCCTCAGCATATCCTTTTCCCCCAACTATTTTTCCTTATCAGAAAGCGTGTATTTGTGTTGCAATTGTCACCTCTGTGCTAATATCTTATGTGGTTCTCTTAGTACCCCCTCTTTTTAAGATAATGTCAATTACATACTATGGATAGGCAATACTGAAATCCTCCTTCTCTCTGCCAATATGGGACTTAAAGGAGATACTTTCACTCTGAATTAATAAGCTTAGTCTACACTCCATGCTTTTTCTCTCATGCTTTCTCTACTATCTTCATTGTCAGAGAATAAAAAAATCTACATACTGTCTCTTCTATGGCCACCATCTATTTGTACAGTACATACACGTCAGTGCTCCCACTGGTTCTTACGCTGAAGCTTCCTCAACCCTTTATTAGTTGTCTAGTGTTTGTTCTCTAGTACATTCTTCAGATGCTGGCGCAGTCACTCAATTCCTCAGCATGGTCTTGACAGCCTGTGGGCTCTACAGATAAAGGTCAGTTTGGGTACTGAAACCTTACTTCATATCTTCTTGTACTATATATCAAAAAAATGTTACTTTTTGTATAAAATGTTACTACTGTACCAAAAAGTCTAAAGCCTCACTGATCCTTTTCTTCCTACATAACTTGGTCTTTTGACTGCTTGCCCCAAAGAATTTTTTAATTGGATGGATGGATGGGTAGATAGGTGTGTGAATTTTATTTATTTACTTACTTATACGTACATCACCTACACACAAGGTTTCACTCTGTTGCCCAGGCTGCAGTATAGTGGTGTCATCACAGCTCACTTCCAACTCCTGGGCTCAAGCAATGCTCCTGCCTCAGCCTCCTGAGTAGCTGGACTACAAATGTGCACTACCATGCCTGGTTAGTTTTTTCTTTTATTTCAGGTTAATGTGAGGGTATGAACAACCAAATCACAATATTTTGTTAGGTAAAGTCCCTCTTTTAGCTATGTCCTGCACTCAGAAGGTGTGCCACACACCACTACATTGTACCAATTCAGTGAGGGCAGCCCAAATCCCTCCTTCCCCTTTCCTCCTTCCTTCATTCTTCCTCCCCTCAACTTGAATTGAAATGAATTTTTCTCCTTTGTGGGTGTGACTTAGATTGTCTACTGGCTTCATATTAGAACTGAGTACATTGGATGTTTGCTTTTCCATTCTTGTAATACTTTACTGAGAAGAATGTGTTTCAACTCTATCCAAAAGATCACCTAGTAAAGTCACCATCTTTTTTATGTCTGACTAGTAAGTACTCATGGTATACATACACTCATAATCCTGAGTTGATGGGCATTTAGTTTGTCTTTCTATCTTGGTGATTGTAAATTGAGCTGCAATAAACAATCTAGTGTATGTGTCCTTATGATAAAAGGATTTTTTTTTTTCTGGGTAGATGCCTAATAGTGGGATTGTGGAGTCAAATGGGAGCTCTAATTTGCGTTCTTTGAGGATTCTCCATACTTCTTTCCAAAGAGGCTGTATTAGTCTGCAGTTCCACCAACAGCGTAAAAGCATTTCCTTCTCTCCACATCCGCACCAGCATATGCAGCTTTAGGACTTTGTGATGTGGGAAAATATTACTAGGGTTAGGTGATACCTCAGGGTAGTTTTGACTCGCATTTCTCTGATGATTAGGGAGAATGAGCATTTTTCATGTCTGTTTAGATATTCATGTCTTCCTCAGAGAAGATTCTGTTCATATCTCTTGCCCAGTGATAGATGGGATTGCTAGCTTTTTGTTGATTAATTTGAGTTCTCTATCGATTCTAGTTATCAAGCCTTTGTCAGATTTGTAATATACAAATATTTTCCCATTCTGAAGGTCGTCTATTTGCTTTGATTGTTGTGGTCTTAGCTGTTCAGTTTAATTAAGTACCATTTGTTAATTTTTGTTGTTGCTGCAATTGCCACTGAAGTCTCCTTCATAAAATCTTTACCCAGGCTGACATCTTCAAGAGTTTTCCCCACCTGGTTAATTTTTTAAACACTTTTTTGTAGACAGGGTTTTGTTGTTCAGCAGGCTTAGCTGCAACTCATAGCCTCAAGCAATCCTATAGCCTCAGCCTCTCAAAGTGCTAGGATTACAGGCACGTATCAGGTCTAATTATTTATTTGTTTTTGAGACAGGGTCCTGCTCTACTGCTCAGGCTGGAGTGCAGTACTGTCATCATAGCTCACTGGAACCTCAAACTCCTGGCCTCAAATGATCCTCCTGTTTCAGTCTCCCAAAGTGCTAGGATTATAACCATGAGCCACTGCATCTCTGGTCCTTTCAAGTTTCTATTCCAATGACACCTGATCAAAGAGACTGCCCATAAATAAAAAATTAAATGGAGCCACTCCTGTCTCCTGGTACTCCTGACACTCTCCCACCCACTTCCTGCTTTGTTTTTATCCACACCCTCATCACTGCCTGACAGATACATTTACTTGCTGCTGTCAACTCCACTGGAACACAAGCTCTAAGAGGCATGTGTTGTGTCTACTTTGTTCCCTGCTCTATTCCTAGTGGGTGGAACAGTAACTATACCTAATGGGAATGCTACTGGGATGTGAAGGATGAGTGAGTGGCCAGTGCCCAGGAAGGGCACTGGGTTGGTACTTACTCCCTGTATGGACTTTTGATCAAGGTGCCAGGCCTTGGGAAGGTGAAGGTAATGCTCTCACCTTGCTTATGGCCTCTCCTCCCAATCCAACTTTGTCATTTCTTAAAATCCCAGGTAAAGTCTAACCTCCTCTACACCTTCTTTTTTTTTTTTGACAGAGTCTTACTATGTCACCCTCGGTAGAGTGCCGTGGCATCACAGCTAACAGCAATCTCAAACTCCTGGGCTTAAGGGATTCTCTTGCCTCAGCCTCCCAAGTAGCTGGGACTACAGGCATCTGCCACAGTGCCTGGCTATTTTTTGGTTATAGTTACCATTGTTGTTTGGCAGGCCCGGGCTGGATTTGAACCCGCCAGCTCTGGTGTATATGGCTGCTGCCCTAGCCACTGAACTATAGGTGCTGAGCCTATACCCCCTTTTTAATGTTGCCAACCCTCACTGATTGCACCCACACCTTCCTTATCTACGTAATCATGTATTCAGCATCCAGGGACATATGATTTAAAGGCTTGCTGAACCAGACCTGTGGCTTTAGGGCACTGATGTTCTCACAGCGCCAATGCTAGCCACTCTGGGGATAGGGCCCGGTAGTGTTGGGCTGCTGATTTTTCCAAAGAAGCCAGATCTGTGGACTTTTATAGGGACTCTTCTAATGGTTAAGTGTTTCACAAATTTGGAATGAACAAGAACAGCACACACTTCTTATCATACCAGGAAGCAAGGAAATCACCAGATGACCAGGGGTGTGTCCAAAGATTCCTCAGGAGTCTGTCTGGATGAGTTCCCTGCCCCCCATCACAGATGGAAAGAGAACATGACTATCATGGTATACACATTAAGTTATTCAAATCCACAAGTTCATAGTTATAGTAAAAGGTAAACACAAAAAACTCCTTGGTTACATTTGGAGGATACTAGGAAACCAACTCATCATAATTTTGACAACTGGTGAATAAAAGAAAGGAGAAAAAGATTTATTCTGTCTTTCTTATACATAAAGTTGCCTTAAGGTAGCCAAACCATCAATGAGGTGATTTCTCCTTGTGGGAGCATTCCAGATACCAGACAGAAGGGGTGACAGTGTGAAATTGCTGCCACTTTGCAATCCCCAGTGCATAGCTGGGTCTGGATGTTCTTTTTTTTTTGAGACAGAGCCTCAAGCTGTCCCCCTGGGTAGGGTGCCATGGCATCACAGCTCACAGCAACCTCCAACTCCTGGACTCAAGCAAGTCTCCTGCCTCAGCCTCCCAAGTAGCTGGGACCACAGGTGCCCGGCTATTTTTTGGTTGCAGCCATCATTGTTGTTTGGCGGGCCCGAGTTGGATTCGAACCCTCTGCCTTAGGTGTATGTGGCTGGCACCTTAGCCACTTGAGCCACAGGTGCCGAGCCGGACAATGTTCTTAATGACTGACAGTTACACAGAGTTGCCTGGAACTCCTGTTGGGAGCACACAGCACTTCAACCCTATCTACAGGTAGATCTGCCAAAACCAAAATCAACTGAACCAGAATCTAATAGAGGTTCTGGATCTCACTGCTCAATTTGCAGGAAATAAGGGACAAAGGAACTTGTTAAATGACTATAGGGGATGCAATCAACAAAAACCAGACTGAGAGAGATTCTATACCACAAATGACCCAATTCCTTCAACAAAATACTGCAAGAGAAAAAAATAAGGAGAGGTAGAACAGACACCTATAGATTAAAAGGGATTTGAGAGGCATAGAAATCAATAGTATTTTTCATATGCTTTGGTTCAAATAATCAAATTATAGAGAGTACATCTGTACTTGAGGAAATGTTTGTATGTATATCTCATGCTATTAAGGAATTAAGTTTGTTGTACAATAATGGTATTGCTGGTGTCTTTTTTTTTTTTTTTCTTTTTTGGAGAGAGGGTCTCACTTTGTTGCCCAGGCTGCCAGGCTGGAGTGTAGTGGTACGATCATGGCTGACTGCAGCCTTGAACTCCTGGGCTTAATCAATCTTCCCGTCTCAGCCTACTGAGTTGCTGAGTTTACAGATGTGAGCCATTGCAGTCTTTAAAAGGGGTCTCTACCTATAAGAGCCTCAACTGAAAGACTGACAGGGAAAGGCCACATGAACAACCCTGAGGTAGATAGGCCTCTTCACTGTGCCCCTTGCTCTCAGAGCACCTGAAGTTCAAAAAGGATGAAGAAGGCTCCCCAGGGGAAGGGGTCTTGGGGTAGGTTAGGCAAGAGAAGGTCCAGGGGTGCAGCTGGGGCTGTAGAGGTTGCTGGGCAGTGGTAGATGTGGCCAGGACCTGAATCCAGTGTACTGGGCCAGGCTCTCCATCTAGCACACGGGTGATCTCTTTCCAGCTCCCATAAATACCCTCCTAGCCTGAGGCCCACAGCATGCACCATGGGGGCCTGGTGGTGGCCACCCTGGCTCTTCCCTGGCCTTGACCTTCCCCTCCTGCTCTCAGAGAGCTTCTCTTACCTCTGGGCCTGGGTCTGCAACGCTGGCTGTCCTCCCTCCAAAGCTGCTGCCTGGCTGCTTGGATGGAGTTTTCTGGAGGAAGTCAGAGATCTTCTGAACCAAGAAATCACGGTCTTTTAGGTTGGCAAACAAGAAGGTCATTTTACTTTTGGTGCTAATGGACAGAGGGCTGGGCAGGACACTGGAGCTGTCAGCTTTCTCGACAATGGTCACCTGAGAAGGCAAAAGCACTCTCTTGGGCATATACATCTTAGGACCTGAAGCAGGGTGCTCTGTAAATGTGAGACAACCACCTTGGGGTGCTCTCCTGGACACAATGCAGTTGAGTGGCCCAGCTGGATCCACATCCTGACTCTGCCACTTACTGTGTGTGACCTGAGCAAGCTGCTTGCATATCTAAGTCCTGTTTTTTCCCTTGTTGATGGGGTGAGCAAGTTGGTCTTGCATGACCTTTCTGAGGATGATGTTCAAAATGGAAAGTGCTTGGCCTGGCTGCTGGTCCTTAAAGGATTCTCAAGAGACTGCCAGGCACACTACTCTACTCTAAAGCAGGACGAATAGTCCCTTCCTTGCACAGCTGTCCCAAGCACTTGTTCCCAGAAAACACTTCTTGATAGCATGGGTCATGGGGCTCAGCTCTGACACCTGCTGAGTATGGCTGATGGGCTTTCAGTGGGCACCTCTGCAGAGCCTGAGGCCTGAGGGGATATGGACAAGGGAGCTGCAGGCCAGGCACAGGCAGCAGACATGAGTGCTGGCAGTGAAGTGAGTGGGGAGCCCAGGCTGAGGACACCACTGGGGAGGTGTTAATGGATGGAGCTGAGCCCTGGCACAGCTGGGTGAGATACTGGGGAAGAGAAGGGCAGTGGGCTGGGTAACCACCTCAAGGTGTGAGTGAGACTGGCTTGAAGGAAGCAGAGAAGTCCAAAGCAGCTGGGTCAAAGCGAGCAGGGATGGGGTGTGGGGTGTATGTGTGGGTATACAGGGAGTATGAAAGATAGTATAGGCTCACCTACAACCTCATAGGTTACAGGAGGCAGGTGGGGCGTCTTCTGATCACCAGAAGATGCTGGAGGATTCTTAGCAGGACACCAACACGCTCTGACATTTTAAATTTTGTTGGCTACTATGGAAGGATGTGTCATAATGGGGCTAGGTGGGGTTAGGAGCTTCCTGGGGCAATCCAAGCAGACATCAGTGTCTTGGGTGGTGGTTGCAGAGAGGAAGGGCAAGCCCCAGGGCAAGCCAGTGGGAGATGCCATGGAGGAGGCTGACTGACTGAGCAAAGGGTAGGAAAGGCATGGTTGGGATTGAAATTCGAGAGTCCATCAGATGCACAATGGAGCTAGTAACAGGTGCAAGAACTCCTAGGGACCCCATCGTTGGCCAGGACATTGAGGGCAGATGTGTTTAGGATGGTCAGTGCTGGGTGAGGCAGCTGTCCTCCACCCCATCCAGTTGCTTAGCTCTGTCACAAGAGCATGGCTCAGCCCTGCAGTGTGAGCCAACTCCGCTCCCCAAACTCAGCCAGTGGTCTCTGCCTTCACAGACGTCAAGGGCCTGGCAGGAAAAATGCAACTGGGGCCTCAGGTGTCAGGATAAACCCTCAGCCCATCCCAGGCCCAGAGCTGAGTCAGTACAGCATGGAGGACAAACTCACAGGGCCATGGTGCTAAGAGAACACGGGGGCGGAACCACATCTGAGTTTCTCAACCTAGAGATCTGGAGCTATGGCTTTTTTGAGTCCTTTGCCTCTGACTTCCCTTGGGGTAATTAGAGCAGCACACTCTCCCACATTTATTCACAGCTACACCTGCTACTTGAGGGCTCTGTGTAAATTCCAAGGAGGTCTCACTGCTCTGGGTTTTTAATATAATCAAAATATTGTGAATTAAATTTTAACTTAAGACTCCCACTGTGCCTCATGGAATTGAAAATAGCCAGTGCTCTATTGGGCCACAAGGCAAGGGAGGCCCTGGGACCTGGCCAGTGCCTTCTGCTCAGGCAGGGGCCCTTGCTGTCCACACCCTTTCACACCCTTCAGTACGGGATAGATAGCCTTGTTTCCACCAGGATCACTGTGGAAGCCCAAGAAACCCAAGAAAGAACATCCCTGGCAGGTGAGAGCTGACCTCCAGGGCTCTGTTGGAGCCTGAGCTGCAGCCAAGGTATGTGTGTGGGAGGAGTTGGTGCAGTGACCTTGAGTGATGTGGCAGGACTAGCTCAGGGACAAGGTCCTCTTAGCCTGGTCAAGGAGCAGGTAGGTGGTGCAAAAATTCAACTGCAAGGCCTGAAAGGCAGGACAAATGGATGCTC